TGTTCGGCCGGGGCACGCCGCAAAGCGGTGCTGCCGGCAAATTTACTGAGGAGCGAAGCCTCTTCATGCTATTCGCCCTCATTAGTTTTCCTGGAAAACACATCGTGCCATGTTGGCCTAGTAGTCCCCAAGCTCCAGCTTAATTCAACCGGCTGAACTTAATATTGACTTTGTGTTTGTTGTATTTTCTTTCTGCTCTCCTTATAAATGGGGGTAAACTTGGATCCCACGCTCATGTATGTGGTTCTTCCTCACTCACACGCCTATTGAGCATCCTTTCAGAAGGCCATTAGATGCCACCTTAATGTTAAAAAGAAGTTACTAAGCAATAGTCCATAATGAGGTCAGGGTCTCAAAACCTTCATGAAGGCAGATAGATAGATGTCATCTACATGTATGCAAGTACAGCAAACTGAAGCAGAAGGGTGGCAATGGTTAAGGTGGTTCTGGTCCAGTCTCCTATGATGGGGCTTTCTCTGGTACAGCTGTTGAGGGGGAAGGTACAGAGGTGAGGCTGACGGGTTGGTCGTTCCCAGGCTCCTCCTTGCTACCAACGGGTGCAATGTTTCCCTTTTTCCAGTCACCAGGAACTTCACCTGACTGCCAGGACTTTTCGAATATCATGGAGAGTGGCTTGGCAACTGCATCAGGCAATTCCCTCAGGACTCTGGGATGCATCTCAACAGGTCCTATAGACTTGTGCATGTTCAGGTTCCTCAAGTGGTCTCAAACTTGATCTTGTCTTACAGTCTTGGACTGTCCTCCAGCCGCTGTCTTGCAGTCCATCCACTTGAGAGGTGTGGGAAGACAGACTGCTTATTTGTTTTTAGTATAGAAAAAACTGCTATTCTCTTCATGTTACACCTAATGTAATATCTAGGGGGAAGTTATGTGTTATATTTTGCACTGAGCTAATGCTCCACCACAGCTGAAAGGTGAGCTCCTACCCCATCTGGGGTGGTGATCTGACCCTCCGCTGAACTAATTCACTTAATTAACAGAAAAAATAGCCCTAAACAGGTAGTAAACACAAAAAAGTGCTTGACAAGAGCACAGTGGAGGAGCCAAGATGCCCAGGCAGGTATCAGAGGAGGTATAAGTGGGGGCAGAACCTTTTCAGTGGACGCTGCTAGAGGTCCTCTCAGCCCCAGCCGTGTAACGTGACCTTTACATCACTTCTCGCTTGCTGTGCTCCACAGTGCTTCAGCAAAGCTTGACTGAAGTGGGGAGGTGTTATTCCCGTCCTTCTCCTGACATGGAGGACAGAGATTCATCTGAGCTGGGGGAATCACCCCTTCAGTTTACTCAGTGGTAGAAACTTTTGAAGCCACATCGGTCTGTGTGTCGCTGGCTCCGGGGCTACTTAGTGGACAACGAGCTGCCCCCATGTGTCACTGGGTTCAGACTCAGACAGAAATCAGTCCTACCTATGTATGTAGGCACTCAGACAGCTGTCAGAACAGATTACCCTTCATTTGTTACCTGCCCAGATACTACGTTTTCAGGCCTTTTTGGAAGTCTGTCACGAATTTAAAAAAAAAAGAAAGCCCACCGAGTTCAAGTAGCCTGTTTCCCTTCCTCCTTGCCTGTGGGGGAGAAGTGATGGGGCTTTGCGAGCGAGGCCGGCAGAGACAGCAACAGGAGGAAAACCCTGCAGAGAAAGCAGCGTGCAGCCCCCAAGCGTACGTACGTGCCACACAGCCGTGAGGCAACTTGCGCTGGCTAGCGGGTGAACCTGCTGTGGCAAGCTGCTGTGGCCAGGCGACCATGTCAGCAAGCAGTTCTACTGACTCTCCAGCAAACTGTCCCAAAATGAACGACCAGCCGCTTTTACAGCCCATCACAGGTGAGCACAACAGATCATTTCAATTTGAGCTATGGGCGTTTTTCAGGTCAGAAGCATTCTGGCACTTTTCTTCTATTTCTTCCTTTGCATTTAAAGCACACCTTGTTTTGTAGCATCTTGTACGTACTATCAACTATCACAAGGTAAAGCCTGTTCCCACCTCTGTCTGATAGACTCTCCTTTCATGGTGAAGAATTCCCTGCGTTTGGAGACCCACCTGCTGCCGGGTGTGCTGTGTCTGGCTGAGGTGGACTTAACCTTCTCCCCAGCGGCCCGTAGGGTGCTGTGCTTTGGATTTGTGACTGGTAACACACCAGTCTGGTGGCTGTTGCTAAACCAGTGCCTGCACGGCGTCAAGCTCTTCTCCCTTTCTCATGCTGCCTCCACAGCCGGGGGCGGGCAAGAAGCTGGGAGTGGACACAGCTGGGAGAGCTGACCCCAGCCGACCAAAGGGGTATCATCCCACACATCTGGTGTTGTGCTCAGCAGCAAAAGCTCAGGGAAGAGGAGGAGGAAGGGGGTATGTCTGTGGTAACAAGCACCCATCGTGCATGTTGAGGCCCTGCCTTCCAGGAGGTGGCGGGACGTCTGCCTGCCCGTGGGAAGTAGAGAATTAATTCCTTATTTTGCTTTGGTTTCACACACAGCTTTTGCTTTCCCTGTTAAACCGATTTTCGCTTGATCCACAAGTGTGCCGGCTGCAGTCAACCCAGCACACTAGGTCAAGGGAAATCTGTGCTAAACTGGGTGGGACTACATGAATCAGACTCGACGGATAATACATCTTTTCTTCTTTTTATGGAAAATATGTTGGGTGTGCCTTTAGACAAACACTAAACTGAACATGTGCCACAGACTGTAAACACTATAGCAAGGGGTCACTCAGAGAGGGCTCTTTGTTTCAGACGAGACAGATGGACCATTCAAAACATTTAACTCCCCGGCACTGTACCATGTGGTCATTGGTTTTAATTGCATTTACCTCCTTTAAATAACGAGTCTACGAGGTGTCTTTAATTTGTCTTTATTCTTAGGTCAAACTATCATCACTGAATTGAAGAACGAGGTTACTGGTTGAAATACAAGTGCGGTGTGAGACAAATATGGAAGATGACACTTTGCAAATAAATTAATACAGAATAATTGTCTTTGCATAGTTCAGAAGTGAAAAGTAGGAGGCAGCAGTGCGCACGTGCTGTGAACTGACACACACCACCACGAAAACCCAAGTTCCTAGGTGAACTCTTGCAGCTGCAAATAAACCAAACCAAACCAAAAATATCCCAAACCTTAGAGAGCACTAACTAGTAAAAACCAGGCAGAAAGGGAACCGATGAGCTTTTTTTTTGCCTTTTTTTTTTTTTTAACAGACCATGCGGCAGAAGGAGTGTTTTCTCTACAGACAGAGATGCTTTTAGATAATCTGCCTTGGCATCCCATAGCCTGTCATACCCGACTGTGATGCTCCTTTGTTGCTGCCCATCTGAAGGCCTATTACGTTCTGTCCCTGACGAAGCTGCTCTTCTGAAAATCCTCGTCGATTCTGCTGTGCTTTCCTGTCCAGATACATACAAAAAAAGCAACATCATACACACATACCATCATTCTGCGTATGCCCGGGGGATTGTGAAAAGCAATCTGAAATTGGCTCATGTTAACAGATGTGTCCCCTGTAACATAATATTTCATTTGCACCATCCCATGGGCTGGACAATACTGTCTGGGCTAATTGCTTTTCTGCAGTTAGAAGTAATGCTGTAGCCAAAGCTACAACACTTCAGACTTTCACTGTACCTCTTATTCCAGACCCCCAATGGACTTCCCCAACAGCTACGACAGGTAAAATATTTATGTAGTGCTGTATATAACACACGTGATAGGGTTAATTTGTGTTAAGTCCTATAGCTCTTAACAGCTGTAGATCTGATCAATGAGACCCTTATCTGTGCTGTAATACAAGTTGATACCCATCTAGAGCAACAGTACTGGTATGGTTTAGTGGGCATGGTGGTGTTGGGTTGATGGTTGGACTTGATGACCTTAAAGGTCTTTTCCAACCTTAATGCTTCTGTGATTAATTTAACTCAGTGGAGTAAATAAGAGCTGAATGTACCCGGAGAAACAACGGGACAGCGAAGTGACTTGCTCGTCTTTTTGCAGAGCGGACGGTGGTTGCCCGCAGGACAGAACGATCACTCTGTTGCCATTTCCAGATCTCTCTCCGCTAAGCAGTAGACTTTGCCCTTTGCACCTGTGTCTCAACTGTATGACGGCCCTTTATCTTCTGTCAAAACACACTGGTCACTTTTGTTCAGTGTCCCTGGTCTCAAAAGCCCTTTGGATCAATGAACCTTTGTCGGAGTTTAAAAGGAGCCTCTTTTCCCTGAGAAGAGCACTGAGGGCCAAAGTGGCAGTTTATGAAGCACCACAAAAGTTTGTACTCTGCTGCCTTGCGAGAAACTGTTCATCCAGAATTGATCTTTCCTTTATACAAGGTGGGGAAAACAAGCAATCTGCAAGGGAGAAGGATCAGCCTGTTGCTACCAAGCAAGCCGTACGGATCGGCAGAGCCACAGACCGAGGGAGGCTTTCCATCAGCCAGGCTCTACTCCCACCCAGGTACAATCTTTCTCCCTGCTGTGTCTGTTTGTCCCGGGATCAGGTTCCCCTGCAATATGGCACGGCGTTACAATTCCCTGCGCTGCCCACCCGCCCCCCCCAGATGACAACGCCAGACAAGGCGCCAGCCGTGACTGAAAACCATCAAGGCGATCCCCTCTGTGAGGGTCCGATCCTGCACCGTGCGGAGCACCCTGGCTCGAATCCAAAGCAGCACTTACTTACACTCTTCGCTAGGCTGAGGGTGACCAGGACATTGCAGGAGAACCCGTGTTGGCATGAAAGCCCAGCAAAAGCGAGAAAGATCCACGGGAAACCAGTACTGACCTGCCGTTTTTCAGAACGGGTCTCCAGTGTTAACGTATAGACTAGCAAGAGGGCTTATAGAAGCCCACCACAGGCTCTCGGACCCCACAGCTCTTGTCATTTCGGAGGGAGGCATGCAGAACTGCGGGTGCCTCAGAAAGCAACACCCCCGCCCCCCCAGCTGCTTCATTTCTTTTTCAGAATACTTACACAGGCACCAAACTACTGCCAGGATCCCCACGAGAGGCTGTTTTTAGAACTACACCTATTACTTAGTTCAACCGCAGGTTCAGTGTCTGTCTTTATTTTAATTAAAATCACAGGAATGCATTCTATTATTTTTTTCCTCTTTCTTCCTAGAATTTTCAGCTGTGTTGTGGAGTAATCCCACAGAAAGTTGAAATGTAACTCTGAACAGGAAAAAAATGAGAACTGCAAAGAAGAAATAAAAAGAGAGACTAAAGGGAATCCTGTATATGCTAATAAAAGTTGATTACATATGCAGTTTGGATCATACAGTGCTATTTTTACCATCATAAGCACCGCATTTAGTATATGATGATCTTACAGATGACAACACGTACTTAAATTTTTGCTTTTAGGCTGGTGGAAATGGCCCAGAGGTGAGGGCAAGTCTGTTCCCCTCGATGTCTCACACTATGTCAAGTTCTGTTTGGCCTGTCTGCCATCACCTGGCACCACCTCTACTGCAGACTGAGCCCACCAGATCTGTTAACTTTTTGTGCCACCTTTGCACCAGTGCTTGTGGTTGCCAAACCACGAGATGACAAACAGCCATGGATCCATGACCCTTGCTAGGGCATGCAAGGAAGGGGGAATGGGGCCTGGTGGGACTGGGTATGTGAGACACTGGCAACGGCAAGTTAAATGGCTGAGCTCAAGTGTGGAGGTATCTTAATCGCTGTAGATCCCTGCATGGATACTCTTATTCCATTTAATCTTGACTTCTTTCAATTTAACTTAAGGCGATTAAGAATCATCCTGAAAGCCCTGACTCAGGACTAACACTGGGTGGCAGTGAGGGGGCCTGATCTGCCTTAAGGGCTGGGTAAGCTGCTCAGAAAACAGCTCCTGATCTGCAGTGTTATTTCCTTATAGAAATAACACCAGTTTTCCTTAAGGCAAGGGCTATAAAATGGTATTTCAGGGGCTGTAATAGATATGGATTGGCTACCCAGGAAGCATGGGCAGGACAGACAGCTAGCAGAGATGGGGAGGTGATCACATCTTCGTTTATGCCAGTGAAAACTGTTCCCACCCACAATTAAGAGTCCAGATGAAAATTAATTTTTCCATGTAGGACTTTGTTTTAGTTACATAAAACAAATAAGCCTGTCTGGGTCACAGTGATTTCATGTCTGGTTTATATTAAAGCATGTAACTGGATTTGAACTCAATTTTAAACCCAATTATATTCCATAAATACAAATCTATTTGTGCACTGTACTAAGTTAATTTAAACTAATTTCATATGAAGAATGCATAGGAATTTGCACTTATTCACCTAAAATTCAAGCCTCCCTTAGCTTCAGTTAAACCAGTTCAATGTTTAAGACAAACCAAGTGAAGTTTGCTTTTACTTTTGTTGAGCTGTACCCAGACATCAGAAAATTCAAAAAAAACAAAGACAAGCAGCCAGCACTCTTTTTGCTAACGTGCCTCAGACATTTCAGCATAAGAAATGCTCTTGGATGGCAGAATCTCAGGTCAGTAATAGGCCTGTGGGGCAGGAGGGCTGAACTGTGGGAAGATTTCTTTTTTTTTCCTGTCCCTGCTTCTCTGCCTCCCTAGCCAAAACAAATGGAGTTTCAGAGCAAACAAACAGCTTTGCCAAGACAGAGAATTATCCACAGATAAGTGGTACTCCCCAAGACAAAAGATCACTAGAAAATGAAATAATTTTTTGTTTGATAAAAAAATGGAAAGCGGCTTCATGCCGTCTCTTTGCTCTGTAAAAGGGTCACTATATGGGGGGGTTGCAGACATCCATGACAGTCTTGTCTTCATTAGTCTTTCTGTCTGTTACCTGATGTGAGGCAAAAGTACACTCTTCCTGCCAGCTACTCTTGGGACAGACATATCTGCATGGCTGCTGCCATGTTCGTTCCCTTTTCTTCATACACGGATATGGAGGATTAACCGAAGCCGCTAAACGGAGGAACACCATCAAAACTGGTGGCTGAATTTCCTAAGCATCGTTGCTCTTCTTCTAGGGAATAAGAGCCAGGGATAGCATCAGTGGACAAGAAAACTATGTCCCTCTTCAGCGATCAGTGCGGGCCCCTCACGCAGCAAGACGGACACGCTACGCAGGCGGCTGGAGCAGGGCGCGTGCGCGACCAAAAGCCACCCACCCAGTAGGGTCCCCAGGGGTGCGCGCCCGCGCCCACAGCAACGCAGCCTGCAACGGCCTCGTTCAAAAGGGGTGCTTCCAGGAGAAAACCGGAGCTGGGGCCACGGGCAACGCGCTCCCTCGTCCTGGTAGCGGCCGCGCTCTCCCGGCCGCGGGGCAGGAGGGACAGGTGAGGTGGCACCAGCGGGGGGGCTACACGAGAACAGGCACAGCTGCACAGGGTCCTCCCCAGCGGCCCTGGGGCAACTTTGGGCCGACAAGACAGGGCAAGGCGTGGGCCTGGCAGCGATGCCGATATCGCTGGGAAACCGGCGAAGGGTAGAAAATGTTGCAGCCTGGTTGGGTCTTTGCTTCTAGATTGCGGAGAGAAAATCTCGCCATTACAAGGAAACTTTGGAAAGACTCTTCCCTTCCTTTCCCAATAGTTTTCCTTAAAGCCTAAAGGCAGATGATATTACCAGCTTACCGGGGAAGACAGCTGGGACCAGCTGCGCTTTGGACTTTACCTGTGAAACCAGGATGGATCCCCTTTGTAGCAGCCGTCATCCTTGGTGACTGCCAAACTGCCGAGAGCCATTAATGTTCTCTGCACTGCGGCCATGTCCTTCCCTAGAAAGCCAGACAGTGAAATTGATGTAAGAAATCCTTGCACAGCAAATAGCTTGGCACACCGACAAACAGCCTTATCCAATGTATTAACTAACTAACTAACCCCCTCAGCTCCCCTGAAAAACTGCATTAATAGCATCATAAATGCCATTTCACCGTTGCTGAAATGCAGGTACTGACACGCAAGGGCTTATTAAAAGTCGTCAAAGGGACAGCGTTAAAGTGCAACTTGACAATTCAGGCGTTTCCAGGTTTACAGGCCTCTGGCTATTTTAAGGCCTTCTGGATAATCCTTTTGGCAAAATTTTTTCCTAAGAGATCACTTTGGTGTACAAAGAACGGTAAGATACTCAGTAAAATGTGGTTGAAGGAGACCAGTGTGTTAAATAACAGTGGTGTGTCCCAGTGTCTTCAGCTGTAAACTGCTGAGACTGATCCCACCATTTAAACCCTGCAATTCCCCACAGTCCCTGCGCTAACAGTCCTTACAGCAGTCCTGGAGAGCTCCAGTGCAGGTAACTTGTATCAGTCTTTCCCAATTTAACCATCAAATCGCCTCCCAAATCCCTCCTACTGGCTTCCTTTCTCAGCCTGCCAAAAATCGACGCTCTGCAGGTCCATACCTTCAGTTCCTGCCATCCAGTCCGCTATTCTTCCACTTCCTCCCCATGTCACCTCACTTCATTCCTCGTCAGGGCTCATCTCATCTTTAGCCAAGTAAAAGTTACGTATCTGGTCATCACTAGTTCTTTAGGTTCCCTCCATAAACAACAGCGAGAGAAAAGCTTCTCAGGGGATTATTTATCCCATCTGTATTGGGAAGGGTGAAATTGCCTATCACTTGCACACCTTCCACCTAGCTGAAAATTCACCAGGTTTCCAAGGGGACACCTTACACCTTTGAAACATAGGCTTATTTTCAATAGAGGTTTGCATTTAAAAAATGCTATCCCCTCCTGTCTCCCCTTCCAAGAAAGGATAATATATACATTTTCCTTTTTGGTCAACATCTTTTGCTGATTCCTCCAGCAAATTAAAACAAAACAAAACAAAACAAACAAACAAAACCCAAAGGAGACATGGAAATTTAAAAAAAATTAAGATTGCTCCTTTTTTCTTGGTTCTTGCCCTGCACTTTGTCACTTGGTGTAAAAAGGGCAGGGAACATAAAGACGTCAGAGTCAGACAGACTCTAGCCCATTACCCAATCCAGAGATGTTAACTTTTGGAAAACTTTCCAGCAAAAATTATTTGCAGCATGTATTTCCAATCGTGTGAAGCGGTAAGTTATTGGAAATCTGCCTTTTGCCTCTCCGTTCTTCTGAAATCCTTCCATAAGTGTTCCTATGATGCCCTTCCCTTTCTTTCTGTTCCAGTTCTTCCTCTTTCCTAACATAATTTATCTCGTTAGCAGATCTGATTTTGACTGTAAGAAGTTCTTCACACGGGAAATAAGTAATCCATAAAAACGTGAGATACTAGAGACATGATGATGATGACAACAGGTTTCAGAAATACCTCCAGTGGGCCAATATTAATGAAAATCACGGCGGGTCAGCCGGAGCGCAGAGGGAAGCGCGCGCCGCACCTTCTGTGTTTATGCCACGCATCGCCCTGATTACAGGCAGACGCAGTTCAGGGCTTTGGTTCATGCAAACTAACTGCGTGACACGCCGGCTGCGGGGGGGAAGGCTCCCTAAAGCTGAAGACATCCAGCAGCTTCCAGCCGTGAAAAAAAGGACACCGAGCGTCTTCCAGCCGTGGCTGCCATACAGCCTGTTAAAGTTCACGGCAATCCTACTTGCAGGGGACCGTTGGCTCAGAAAATAAAAGGTCAGCCACCCCGAACCCTTGTTTTACTGTGTCTGTGGGGGCAAAGCGCGGCATATGAGCTCTGTGCTTCGGAGGGCAGCCGGAGAGCCG